AAATTCCATGAAATTTACATGAGACTTTTCAGGACAATTTTAGTCTTTCAGTCTCAGCATAGCTCTGCATATTTGATCCCACTAGTTTTGCAGCTTCCAGTCTCTTGAACTGAGTAGCTTCTTAATCTTTTGTCTCTTTAGCAAGCAGATAGTCGAACAGCGATGGCTATCTGCCTTCATCCTGTAAACTTACATAATAACTTATGTATATATATGTATCACAAAAACTCATTCTGAAAGTTCATGTGTCACACTTTGCATTTCCAAGGTCATTTATTAAGAGGACTTAGATTTTCCTCATTCACTTCTGTCACTGAATACCTTAGTGCTAAAAATTGCATGAGGGACTTCACAGAGTCAGTTCACTAGCCAGCTTTCAGCTCTCCTTTACTTTCGGCTTATAGTAGGTAAGACACAAAGCCTCGTTGGCTGTTGTCTCATGAATCTGCTCTCCTAAAATGTTGCTGCCACCCCTGGTCTGAATCTGATCTTTGCATGATCAGTGGTTAATCTGTGCTGCCCATGTTCATTCATCTGTGGAGCCCAAGATAAAACTTGGATGAAATTCCTTTCCTTCCCAGGATATGGTTCTTTCCAAAACTTTATCTTTGCTCTCTTGTTGGCCTTTGTGCAGATTCTGCATCCTCTCCTAAAACAGAATATGTCAGGGATTTCTAGGGCTCAGTTCTTCAGTTGAGAGCCACTTGTGCTCATTCTGCTAAGAGTATTACAATTTTTCTGTCTCTTAATCTGTTTATTGCACTCAGAACAGAGCTGCTTTCAGCAGAAGGCATTAATAGAAATTTCATTAAATTATCTAGAGGCAGGCAAAGGTATCCAGCTCACACAGTAAAAGGCAAAGATTTTGAAATGTGAAAACACTAAAAAAAGATTTTATTGCTGCAGCCATATAAACAGAGCTCAGGAAAATAATTATCCAAAACAAAAATTTCATTACTACAGATGTATAATGCAAGAATAAGTAGTTATATTCTTACCCAAATAGCTAACAAATATAAGCAGCAAACCCAAATCTTGTCTACACAATTTCTGTCTGGTGTCATCACAGCAGTCAAAAGACTTGTTTACATTCTGAAAGCATGTGTGTTCTAAAACCACAACCCTTCAGTACATGTCAATTGCCTATTTAATTTGTTTTTGGGAAAACAACAGATGGGAAGATTGGTTCCACATTTGTAAATGAAATTCTGATGCTTGAAAAGCATCCTGTAGAATTTCCTCCTGGAGAGGACAGTGTCTTATTTGTCCTAATTTCCATACTTTTATTTATTTTTATTTTTATATTCTAAAAGGTAAGGAATTGAACATTTGTGTTAAACTGATTGAGCTACGTTGCGTGAGATGCATCCTTTTCAAAAGCATATTTTGCTGAACTTTATTAATTGTACACACTTTTACAGCAGTAACCATAGAGCTCCAGTTGTGGAAATGGTTAGCGCAATGTTTCTCCAAATTATTTTCACTCTTACAGTCAGACCATAGCCAACTTGTTTTTGTGCTTCTCATGCTACTTTGGCACAATTTAAGATGAAATATAAGTGGAATTATGGTGTATACACTTTTTTTGCTGGAACTTTTAAAATCAAAATCTTATTCAAGAGTAATATATGTTATGTGTATGAATATTTCTATTAAAACTGGTTTGTATTTTATTCTATGAATATTCCACAATTTGTTAATTTTTTTTCTCAGTGTATATTTGCATATACATTGTTTTGAGTCATGAATAAATGGAATAAGTGGAATCATGATCATAGTTATTTGTTTTGGGTAAATACCTACATGTGGGCGGAATAGCAGAACAGTAAAGAATATGTGTTGGAATTTTTAAGAAACTATCAAACAGTTCTCCATGTGGCTAAATCAGTTTGTACTGATAACAGGCATGAATGAGTGGATCAGCTGCTTTTGCTTTATATGATTCCCTAAATATGGTGTGCTCAGTCTTAATTTGAGAATTCTATTGGTTCAGAAGGCATTTCATTGTACCTTTATTTACATGTTTCTTTAGTAGTCATGTTGGATCTCCTTTTATGGGGTTTGAATAGCTTGTCCATGGGATTTTTAAATCTTCTACCAGCTTCGCCTAAATTTATATCTTTTTCTTAGTATTGACTTGAAAGTAGTCCTTTGTTATCTCCCTCCATAAAACTTTCTCTGTATATTTTCCTCCAATTCTGTGGTAAATGTTTTCATAGTAAGATCTTTCCATGAATTCTAATTCATCACCATTTTTCCCTTTATGTGCAGCACAGGTATTTTGTTGTTTTTGCTTTATCTAAGAAATCTTTTCCTCTTTGAAGGTGAAAAAATTATCTCATTTTGTTCTAAAATTATTCTTATTTTACCTTCTCTATTTAAGTTCACAATCACTTCATTTTTTGTATAGTCTATGTTATGGATTGAAGTACATCTTTCATAATGTTATTCAGTTTTCATCATTTTTTGAAGATAATTTTCTTTATGATTAAAAACCTTTGGATTTCATTGTTGAAAATGAACTGAAAGTGAACTGAGGAGACATGTTCATTGATCAATTAGTATAAGAAAACAACATTGATGTATTTCCTGTAACAGTCCAGTCTTTAAATTAGGGCCAAATTTTAGATTTTGATACAGTTTTGTTTACTAATTTTCCAGTTTTCTGCATCATACCTTTGATCTTATATCTAAGAGAGCAGCCACATCTAGCTTCAAAGAAATTTTCTCCTTTATTTTCTTCTAAAAGTTTTATAAGGTCTAGTTCTCATATTTAGCTTGAATATCAATTTAGACTTAATTTTATATATGGTATTAAATATGAGCCTAAGTTCATCTTTATACATTTGGAAATTCACATTTCATAGTATCATTCACATAGAAAAAATTATTCATTGAATTGTAAATAGCCCTTTTGTCAATATCAGTTGAACATTAACGCAAATTTTCTAGTTTTATGTTTGTTTCACTGATCTATATATCTTCTTTTTTTTTTTTTTTTTTGTGAGATACTAGGGAGTGAACCTAAGGACTTAGCACTGACCTACACCACCAATCTTTTCGTATTTCTATTTCAAAACAGTATCTCAATGGAATGTTAAGTTGACCAGACTGTGCTTAAACCTCTGATCTTCCCACCTCAGTCTCTGAGAATGCAGAGATTACATTTGTGCACCAACATGCCTAGGTCTCTATTTTAATATTTGTAGCATGCCATCTCAATTAAGATAGGTTTGTAATAACTTTTGAAGTCAGAAGAAATAATGCTCCAACTTGATTCCCCTGTACAAAATATCTTTGCCTCTTATTCATTTTGCATTTTCATATGTTTTTGGAAATAATTTTTTGCTTTCTGCAAACAAACAACAAATTTTATTAGACTTGAGATTTACTATTTAACCTGACACTTCACCTAGAAAAATTTTGCTGCATTGGATTTCTGTTCATTTCATCTTTCTACTTTATACAGCTGATTTACTTAAAACATAATTTTAGCCAATTCTAGTTACTGTAGAAAATTATCTTTTTATCTCTTATATTTTCTGCGTTTCTTTTAAATCTTTCTTATTTATTTACTTACTGTTTTTTCCTCCTTTGGTTTGATGTGTACTGTGTAACCTTTTACATACAACTGGGCTGTATGAACCCCTAATCTATATTTTAAAGTATAAATAGCACAGCATCAAGTGAATAATTTATAATCCCTCCTCTTGCTGTATACTACATAGGAAAAATTTGAAACACATCACACAGTGAGTGTGTATAATCTTTCCAAAGGTTACCCAAAGCAGCTATTACTTTCCTCTGCTTTTCTTTTTTCCTGATTACACTGAAGCAGAGCACAGTTGTGAAACTGAGTCCAAAATCAGATCTGCATGAAACAGGGAATCTGATTATCTGTTCTGGCAGCCAGACTCCCAGATCTTTTACTATAAAGAGATATATTATGAAAACTTCAAAGCAATTAAATATATATAAAATTAATTTTAATATTCATTAATCTTAAAAAATTAAAACATTAAAAATGAATTAACTAGTGAAAAACAAATCTTAGTGTTGAAATATGGCACATTCTTGACTCTACGATGGAAAATACATGTTCTTTAAGGTGACCACAAAATAAAACTGCTGATTATTTTAGTGAAATAATTAATATTAAAATATTATCAGAACTGAAGAAAGTAATCTTAACAAAGGTGTGAGAATGAGACCTATGTTTGAAAAATTATAATAGATTGTAAGAACTGAAATGGAAAAGCTTTGCTTATACAGCTCCCTGGCCTTCCCAAGAGACATTTTCCATTGGATAATATGCAGCAATAATTTCTTCTGTTCCTGAGATGTGTGTGTGTGTGTGTGTGTGTGTGTGTGTGTGTGTTTAAATGTCCCTCAGAATAAAGTCATTCATAGGTATTTGTTATTTATCATGATTTATGGCATATTGCCTGCATGAAAATCCCAAGAAAATGTTGCTGCCTTTGATAGAAAAATACTGTATACTTTTTGCGCATAGCTTATATTAATAAGATAAATGGACAGTTTTGATGATTCTAAGTATGATTAAGTTTTGTCAAACAATTTAAATACTTATTTTTTGATTTGTGAACTTTACTAAGAGTTAACTGCATTGATGAGCACAAATTATAGAGTGGTAAAACTAGGAAAAATTGCCTAAGGGAGAAAGAAATATGTTTCTGTATGCATGCCAGCAAATAAGAGTGCAGCTTTCACTGAACATCAGTTATGATCTATGCAAGCCTGAGGCAGGAAGCCTGAATAAGACCTAATTTGAATTGTTTGGCAAAACACTGTTTTCCATAAAGTCAGCACTGAATTCATTTGGCAGTGTACTCTGGTGCTCTCATGCTTGATGTCAGTCACAGAAGTTGAAAAAGACAAATGTAACTGCCTGTCTAAAACTTGAACATACACAAAATTCAAATTTTAGAGGAATCACAAACGGTGTTGCTAGGTATGTCTTTCTTTTCATTGGTTTAGTCATGGCAAGTGTTCTACAGTCCATTTTGACCATCATTGTAACTGTGGTGTTTATTGTTGGAAATTTTGCCAATGTCTTCATATCTCTGGTAAATTGCTCTGACTGGGTGACCAGACAAAGGATCTATGCAGTTGATGGAATTCTCACTGCTCTGGCTGTGTCCAGGATTGTTTTGCTTTGGATAATGTTTATAGGTTGGTTTTCAACTCTGTTTAATCCAGTTATAAATATTGGAATTACTTCTCATGTTCTCTGGACAACAGTCAATCATTTTAGTACTTGGATTGCAACTAGCCTCAGCATATTTTATTTGTTCAAAATAGCCAGTTTCTCCAGTCATATATTGCTTCAACTAAAGAAGAGATTTAAAGGTGTTTTTGTATCAACAATATTGGTGTGTTTGATATTACTTCTTTATACACTTGTGGTCATTTCTATAAATGAGAGGACAAGGATGAAAGAGCATGAAGGAAATGTGACTTGGAAGACAGAGCTGGGGACCACTGTCTTCCTTTCTTTCCTGAGGGGAGTTACTCTAGTGCACTTAATACCCTTCGTAACTTCCATTGTCTGTTGTCTGTTGTTAACTTATTCTCTCCATAGACATCTTAGTCAAATGCGTCAGCACAGCAAAGGATCCCAAGATCCCAGCACCGAGGTCCATGTAAAGGCTTTGAAAACTGTGGTCTCCTATCTTTTGTTATTTGCCATGTATTCTGTGTCTATAATCATATCTGGTTGGAGTTTAGGTTGGTTTTGGAATGAAACAGTTTACTTGCTTTTCCAGACTCTTGCAATCATGTATCCTTCAAGCCATTCATGTGTCCTGATTTGCGGAAACAGGAAACTGAAAGGAGCATTTATGTTGGGTGTGTGGCAGGCAAGGTACTTGCTGAACAAAAAGAAGCCTTCAAATCCTTATCAATAAGAGTGATGCTGTGTTACTTCTGGCAGAATTCAAAGTCTGTGACATTTTGTGTTACTTGTTACTTTTTCCACAGTGATTTTAGTAATTTCTAAGGATATTTCTAATAAATCTGTAAACTAAATTTATTAGAGAGAATATATGTGCTTTTATATTACAGTACATGTGTGCAAAACATAAGAAAAGTTATCAAAAATATACCCTAAATATCTTTATGCAGAGGAACTAAATTATGCAAAATATGCTTGGAAGTTTTTCCAGGATTAAAAACCTCATGTACTACATACACGTATTCTGTGGTATCCTCCATTTGAAAAAGTAATGTTTATATTTATGCCTTATAGAGTGCTATTAGCTTGTCTCATTTATTTTATTTATCATCATTATTTATCACTTATCATCTTATTTTCTGTTCTTTATATTATATTTGTGTTTATATTTCAATGTTTGAACTGCCAACTCTTTCAGATGTTAAGAATATTGAACTGTAAATTACATATCAAAGATACATGTTTGAGGTAGATTTTATTTCTTAAAAACTTTTTTTCTGTTTTATAGGTTTTGAAGTTGTTAGTACAAAATATGCAACCAATAAAAGTCCAGAGCAGCAAACATTTATGGTAAAGTTAGTATGCAACTTTACATAAAGAATATAGAATAGTGTAAGACAAAACAAGTATCTGAAATGCTTACAAAAAGATATGTAAATACAATATGAAGAAGATAGTACCATAATCATGAACTAACATTAGTGCTATTATAAATAAAAGCAATAAACTCAGTTTTACACTTTTTGAAGGAAAAATGATCTTTTCACGGTTGAGTTCTTATTTTAAATATTTTGCTTTTCTTCTAAACTAAAACTGGAACTCTTGATTGCCAATTATTTCTTTCATTTTCTATTCTTAAAATTTCTTGAAGTTGCCATAGGCTGAATTCAAGTTTACTTATCTTCAAGATTTTCTCACTATAAAATAATATATAAATGATGCCGCATAATTCAATGAATGTTTTCAGCCATTAAAATGTGAAGTTGTAGAAAACTTATTAAAGAACTGGTTTCATGTAATATTGTGCATAATGTAGAAATGAGAGAAATTCCATTTACATAATCATTAATGGAAAGTTCTGTTTTATGAAATAAATGTATCACCTGGTTCTATTGAATGATTCTATATATGTAAATCAACTCTTTACATTGTAACATTTTACATAACATAGATGACCCATGCAACTGATTTACTTACATATGCATTTATCATACATTTATTCCAATATACTAGAAGCATTGAAGCTGAGATCACTTGTGCCTACTTATTCCAGGACCTGTAACTGTGCATATAGACTACTTGTCAAAAATCATATTTTAATGAACGAAGAAATGAAGCAATGAAGGAATGAATGAACTAAATGAAAGTTGGTAAATCTAGAAAAATAAAACCTAAAACAAATCTGTAAGTTTTGTGAATTTCTTTGTTCTGGCTTCATGTTGTGAGTGCAAGCTTATTCAATCAAAAGTGCAAGCTTATTCAATCAGAAAGACTAGATATTCCTCAAATCTAGGGACAATATCACTAGAATATAGCCTTGATGTTGTTATATGAGAATTTCAAGTGCAGACCATATGCACAACAATATTAGATGGCATTTTCAATAGTGTAGTAGCTATAAAATAACATGGAAAAGATATTGTTAAATTTAGATACTTCTTTTGTCATTTTGAGACAGGGTCTTGCTATGCAATTCAGACTTTTCTCATGTCCCCAGAGTACATCCTTGGTTCCTTAAACATTTGAAAAAGTTTGGTGTCCTGTTTTTCATAACACAGCAATGAAAAGTAGCTAGGACAGAAATGACAACCCAATAAATAATATGCACTAAACAAATACAGGTATTTTAGTGGTGAAATTGTTATAGGCAACTGAGTTAGTTAAAAATACTATCGGCAGTCAGACAGTGCTGAGCCCTTGAAGGAGCCAGCGCAGAAGATCAAATATGTTGTAAACTTGGAGACAGACACTTCCTGATATGGATCAGTGCTCAAGACAAATGCTCAAAGAAGTACACCTACATCCTAAGGACTGATATTCTAAATAGGTCTCTGTCACCTTGTGAAAGCCAGGAGTCATCATCCCAGTCCCCTACAGACAGAATCACTGCTCTTGAAGCATGCCTGCTTGCTATGTGACTCACTTCCCCATTTGTTCCTGATTTGATCACTTATACCTCAATGATTAATCTTATTGGTTGACTGTAGCTATATCCCACCTCATGCCTGCTTGTCTTGTGAGTTCCCCTTTCCCTCCACTTTGGACTCACCTCATCTAAAGGTTTTACTCCATAAAAGTCCCTAGAAAAGACAGAGACTTTGCCAACCCATTTGGGACCCCTTCTGTCTCTCTCTGTCAGGCAGAAGTTTTCTTTCTCTCAACAAATAAATTCTACTCTTAACTTCCATTGTTTCTAAAATTCATTCTATGATTTTAGAGAATACAAACTCATACTGGATACAGTAGGCTGGGAGTTTCTTTCTGAAAGAGTTTTCGGCATGATGAAAGAGAATACAAAGTAAAAAATAGCCTTTATTCCAAGGACGTAGAAAGAACTCCATGACTGCTGGTGGCTTGGCTTTCTCTGCCCGAACGTGGGTCATGGGATATACATATAACCTCTGACCAGAATCAGGGCGGGCATTGATGATGCTCGAGGAGGTGATTGAAATTTTCTGTGCACGAAAAACAGGAAGGGGAGTTGCAATTAAGGCTGAGGAAGAAGCAGGAAGTGGTAGGTGTTTCTGCTTTGGCCTCCTGCCATGTTAGACCACCGCCATAATTTCTACTAAGGCAAAAAACTTTACTTTCTCCTATATCAGAATTAAGTAACTTTTACATTGATGCCAATATTAAAAATAGCTCTGTATTATAAATATTGTAAACTCATAAATTAAAAAAAAATCATAAAAATTGGAATGAAAATGACAAAACAGATTTATTTGTCTTGCAGACATTGTGTTTACCACATGGTTCAATGAGCCCATGAAGAAATATGTAGTGATTTTATTGAATGGCATCAATAAGTTTAGCAACACTGTGAAATATGATATTAAGGTCTAATTATTCACCAATAAAAACTACTTAGAACATGACATTTAAAATAACTTTTTCACAGTAGCAAGAAAAACTAGAAGGGACCAGGATGTAAGCCTCAATGTCAGTTTTTATTCTAACATTTATTTCATTATATCAAAGAACATAAAAATGTACATATAAAGAAATAGAAATATATATCCCGTTCTTGATTAGAAAAACATTCTCAGGTAGCTAATGAGGCAAATCATTGTGCCAATATAGTTCCACTGCCAATCACAGATTTCAACAGTATCTATAAAATTCTCAAATATTTTTACTAAATGTCAACAGCTAAATTTAAGATAGATTCAGGATGGAAGCTTTTGTAAAAGACCCACATGTGATAGACATGCCTGATACATGTTGTGGGCAGAGAAGTCTGAGTGTGAAAGACAGGAACATAAATCTCAACAAATCCTTGGAGGCTTTTTCAATTTTGAGATCACAGGATAACAATTCATGCTATTGATTCTTAGATTGTTTCCCCAGAACCTAAATATCATGTGCGGGTGGTAGTCATGGCAATGGTGCTTGTGTATGTCTCTGTGTGTATGCGTTATAGACAATAAGGATCCTTTATTGGAGTCATTACAAAAACTACGAAGATTCTGAAAGGCAAACTTTTCAAATCTGTTCCTTTAAATCTTTCTACATGGATCCAAGCTTTGTATCAGAATATCTCCTCAGTTATAATAAATCATTCAGGTCATTTCTGCTAGGTTTTTCTAGCACAATAGACAGGCAAAAAGAAGAAGCCTTTATTGAGCACATGGAGAGGAGTTCCTCTGACTAGAGAGGAACAGGGCAGAGGATAATATGACCTATAGTCAGAGGACAAATTTGAGGCAGACATTGATGACCTATGAAGAACTAACTGGAATTTTCTTCTTGCCCAAAGGGAAGGAAAGAGGAAGTTGTAATCAGGGCTGAAGGAGGAGAAAGTGATCATCAGGGAAATAAGCTGTCTTTTTGTTTTGTTTTAGCCTTTTGCCATGGTAGACCACTGCCATACTATTCAGTAATTTATGCTAGTGCAGAAATATTTCAATGTCCAGAATGTTTGAGTTTTTTCTATCAACTTAGACATTTTTACATGGTCCACATGTTAAGTGTTAGAATTTTACAAGCTGACACCTAGTATTGATGTAGCCAAATTAGGGAAGGGTTGGATAAAGCAAAATAAACAAAGCAATGGAAGTGAATAGGCCTTCATTTGTATGTTACCAAATGAGAATTCAACTTTCACTCAATCTGCAATGGAAGATTCCAGTTTGGTAAGGACATGCAGTGTATGGATAAGACTTAGATTGAGTCTTCTTGGAATAACAGTGTGTTCCATAAAAACACCATTTGGATTATCCTTTAGCATGCTGTGGTGCTCTTTTACATTGCATTGGTCACACAGTGTAAAAGACAGCAGGAGCTTTACTGCACATACAGAAATGAAGTGGTGGTAGAACATCACACCAGGATGTCAAGAAATCACAAGTTGCTATATCATGCTTATCTTTTTGCTTTTTTTCCCCCTCTTGGCTTAAGTTTGCTAAGGATCATTTCCAAAGTGGTAGAGGCAGGTTTGTGTTTAGAAATTTTGAAAAATCTTCTTAGTCTTCGTCTTCTCAACTCATTAAACCTTGCTACTTTGTTCATTGCCAGAGTGGATTTAATTTAGGAGCATTAATAAACTGATATTAGATATTGATTCATTTAGGTTTACATAGCAGTAAAGTAGGAAATATTGTGACTTACAAGGTCATAAGCAAAGATTGTAGCACCTGGCTTGCTGTTAACCTCAGCATACTTTATTTCTCTGAATTATCCAATTTCTCTAACTATATTTTCCTTCACCTAAAATGGAAAGGTAATGGTATCATT